ATAGGAGAAGAAATTAAAGATGCTAGGACTTTTCAGCTTGGAAAAGAGGAGACTAAGGGGGGATATGATAGAGGTCTATAAAATCATGAGTGGTGTGGAGAAAGTGAATAAGGAAAAGTTATTTACTTGTTCCCATAATATAAGAACTAGGGGCCACCAAATGAAATTAATGGGCAGCAGGTTTAAAACAAATAAAAGGAAGTTCTTCTTCACTCAGCGCACAGTCCACCCGTGAAACTCCTTGCCTGAGGAGGTTGTGAAGGCTAGGACTATAACAGGGTTTAAAAGAGAACTGGATAAATTCATGGAAGTTAAGTCCATTAATGGCTATTAGCCAGAATGGGTAAGGAATGGTGTCCCTAGCCTCTGTTTGTCAGAGGATGGAGATGGATGGCAGGAGAGAGATCACTTGATCATTACCTGTTAGGTTCACTCCCTCTGGGGCACCCGACATTGGCCACTGTCGGTAGACAGGATACTGGGCTGGATGGACCTTTGGTCTGACCCAGTATGGCCATTCTTATGTTCTTATGGGTGTCTGATGTCTGTGTTAAGACAGTCAGGGCACATCCAGCAGGGCCCTGTGTGTAACTGGTAGACAAAGGAGAGTGGGCGAGGATGGCTCAGAGAGCAGAGTATTGTGACTCCCTGGCTTCTACCAACAGGAACCATATCACAATCCTGCCTCTAATGCTAGGTCCCTTTGGGAATGTGCAGATCCTGTCTCCGTAATGCACATAGATAAAGACTGGTTTCAGAGTAACAGCCGTGTTAGTCTGTATTTGTAAAAAGAAAAGGAGTACTTGTGGCACCTTAGAGACTAACCAATTTATTTGAGCATAAGCTTTCATGAGCTTAAGCTCAAATAAATTGGTTAGTCTCTAAGGTGCCACAAATACTCCTTTTCTTTTTATAGATAGAGACTGTATGCAGCAGAGAATAGTGCAAAAATGGTTTGTGACACAGTCATGGGGCACAGTACTCACCGCTTGTCTGGTACCTCCTCCTGGTCACTCTGGGGATTAGCTCTTGAGGCTGACACCGCTTCCCATGGTCACACGCCGTCAGACCTTCTCTCTCAGGTCTGCAGCTCCTCTCTCATCCCAGGAACTGCAGGATCCTCTAAATGATTTAGCTCTCTGGCTAGGTCACTCAGCATGTTTCCCCCCTTCCAAGGTACAGTCCTTCAGATTCTCTGTCTCTCCCACTGTGACCCATTCACTGCCCCACTAGTGCCATTTCCTCAGTGACAGGTAGGGGAACCCAGGCCCACTCTCTACTCCAGGTTCCAGTCCAGGGACCCTCAACCCAGTAGTTTTAGGCTTTCTTGCCCAGCCCTCACTACTTCCCTGGACTGCTTCCTACCACGCCTGGCTCTGGGCATACCAACTCCAAACCCTTCTCCCAGGGACAGCCTGTAGCCTACATATCTCAGCAGCCACCCAGAATCCCTCCCTCTTCTCAGGGCAGGGAGTGACTGCCCTTTCCCAGCAGCAGCCCATCTGTGGCAGCTTCCTGTCTTGATAGGCCCCATCTGTTCCTGCACAGCTGAACCTGCTTGCAATCAATACCCTGCTCTCTGACTCTCCTTCCAGCTGCAGCCTGTAAAGTTAATAGGCCTATCTGGCCATCTTAACCCCTTCCAGTCCTGTGTGGGGTGGACACTGCATCACAGATACTTATTAACCAGCTAGGATCATGATAAGTGCAATAGAAAAGCCCCTCAGGAAATTAATAATTTGGTGTTTGTAACACCAACAGACCCCTGTCGTTGGTGGGCAGGGTTGAACCTAGGACATCTGGAGCTAAATGCATGAGCCTCTACTGCATGAGCTAAAAGCCACGTGGCCCTTAGCTAAGGCTGTAGCAGACTCATTAATCTCTAAGTGGTCTCGGTGCCACTAGAGGGGACCGAGCACCACACCCAGGAGATGTGTGGGTTAAATGTTCACAGCAGGTTCAAATACCTTTCCATGAAACCATCCTTAAGTGAGTACCATCCATCCTGTGCACTGAATGAGGCAGGGGTCCAATGGAAAAAAATGTATGTGAACATGGAATTAAAGGTTGTATAATTATGCATATGCACAAGGGGGCTGAAATAAGCTTGCACAGAAAACTTTAGTTCTGGCACTTCCTAACTTTTGAGTGTTTGGGGAGAGGAGGAAGCATAAGCAGAAAAAATAGCCCGTGAGAGCACCACAGCCCCCATGTCTTTACTATCATTTCATCAAGCAGAATTCAGTAAAATATTTAGAAAGGGTAATACTGAGGCCTTGTCTACACTACAGGGGAAATTTTATCTAAGCTACAGAATTTGAGTTACATGAAATCAACTTAGCTTAGATCTACTTAACATGGGGTCCACACTACACAATCTCGATGGGAGATAGTCTCCTGTCAACTCTCCCTACTCTTCTCGATCCGGTGGAGTACAGGAGTCTACGGGAGAGCAATCTGCGGCCAGTTTAGCGGGTCTTCTACCACCAATGCATTGATCGCCGCTCGATGATGCCCTAGTAAGTGTAGACAAGCCCTGAGAGACACAGCTTCACTATTCCTATGCACAGCATGACAAAATACATGTTGTAACTTATGAGTGCGAGGCTATTATCAGGTTACAAATATGGAGTAAATTCCCTGAAGCCATTGGACTTATTCTAAATTTATGTTGTCTTAGCGTAGTTGAGAGCTCTCTCTACAATTTTGGATTCGGCAGTGAATGAGGTAGGTCAAATAGTAACCACTGGATACGGTGACACCTTCCCCTGGGGAAGGAATTGCGACGTTCCCCTGGTGTTATCTGCACTGGTGATCTGCTAGGTCACTCCAATCCTTGACTCTGGGAGCCAGCCTTACCCTTCTCTGCTGTGAGAACTCTGACTCCTGGGCTGTTCACACACAGCCTCTGGCATGCAAGATGCTTGGATCGTGCAACTGAATGACACTAGCCAATATCTCCGGTCCCAGACACAAACCTAGGAACCGCCGTCTTGTGGTGTCCAGTTATGCCTGCTGGATGCTGCAAGGTTATATGAGTTTGTCAATTTAACAAAGAAATTGATATGCTTGTTATCCCAAGCGGAGTTGACAAGCTTCAAACCAAACGCACTGCTTCAGGTAAAATAAACAAACACATTTATTAACTACAAAAGATAGATTTTAAGTGATTATAAGTCAAAGCACAACAAGTTGGATTTGGTCAAATGAAATAAAAGCAAAACGCATTCTAAGCTGATCCTTACACTTTCAGTGCCTTTACAAATCTAGATGCTTCTCCCCACAGGCTGGCTGGTTGCCCTTCAGCCAGGCTCTCCCCTTTGATCAGCGCTTCAGTCGCTTGGTGATGTTGTCTGTAGATGGAGGTGGAAGAGAGAGGAAGAGCATGGCAAATGTCACTCCTTTTTATCATGTTCTTTCTTCCCCCTTGGCTTTACCTCATCATAGTCCCTGACTGACCAAGGGAAGGGGAGTGACTCACTCGAGAGTCCAACAGATCCTTTGTTGCTGTCTAGGCCAGTGTCATGTGTTCTTGTGAGGCTGGGCTGGGTTTGTCCCATACATGCCCTGATGAGGTGTGAACTGCCCCTCTGTTCCTGGAAAGTTTTTGCCTGAGCTTGAATTAAGCCATGAGGACACGTTTTCAGCCTCATAACTCTATACATGAAATTACAACCTATAACATTACTATAACAACAATGCTCAGTGAATCATGAGCCTTCCGAAGACAACTGACATGACAAACTTTGCATTGGATACCACACAATCATATTATAAGGATGAACATGGGGGTGCAGAGTGTTCCCCCGAGATACAGAGTGTCATAGGGATGTAACCCTGACCCAGGTCAGGTGACAGGAATCAGGAAATAAAGTACAATACCACTGTCACTTGGCAGGTGCAGTATCCATTGACTCCAGTGACCATTTGTAAATCAAGGGTCTGCTTAGTGGGCAGCAGGTGCAGTGAATGAGGCAGGGGTCCAACTCATTCATCAAAAACAATCAAAATAAATGAAAATTGGGCTTCAAACAGTAATTCTTTTGCAACCTTAGCTATGGCGCAAGTTTAATATAATTAAACTATATGTTAAAGGAACATTATTAGGTTGCAAAGTCAAGCACTTGTAACATAGGAAATGCTGGAATTAAGGTTGCCTGTGCAGCAAAATATTTACATTTTTTCAGAGGGTTTTTTTAGGTTTTTTTTCCCCCACTTAAAACATTTCAATCAACTTTGACATGAATTTGCAAATCATTTCAGTGTCACCAAATCTGCATTTTTCAGTGTAAAAAGGTTTAGTTGAAAAATTTCACCCAGCTGTACAGACAGCTTAAATGCTAGAGCTCCAGGTATCCCATTCACAGCACAAGATCCAACTTACACACTGAATGAGGCAGGAATGCTGCAGAACTAATAGGAACTTTTATTCCTGTAAAAAAAATCTGTGATTGTGTAACTAAAAATGGTCTTGGCATGCCTTTGCCCAATGGAACAGCAGAGATAAAGCTGAACAGGCTGCCTTAACCTCACTTCTGGGCACTTCGCTTTGCAGTCAGTCTTAACATTCTTTTAACATCTTTTAGTTTAAATAGAAAAATAATAAACCAACAACTCCCTCTCAACCTCTGTGCCACTAGTTCATGGGCGTTCGTGGTCTCAGGGTCTGGTTCCCTGAGGTTATTTTCCTAAAGCTCCAATAGCTGCAATAGCAACTACAAATCTTACTGAAAGCTGCTCTCAAGGCTAACTCTATGCAGTAGCATCACTGAAGTACTGCTGATGAGGCTTCTGGGAAATGTAGTCCCTCAGTCACTTGTTATACACATACACACCCAGTTATTATATATATATATATATGTTTGTGACTGAGTAGCTCACAGCTGTTGAAATAAGTTTCTAACCCTCTGCTTTGAAGACAGATAAACATTTGCAGCCTGGGCCGATTTAAACTGTTGTGAATCTCCTCTGACTGATTAGAAAGCAACCCTCCCTCCCCTCCTTTCCAGAGTGGGCAGAACAACCCGGCTGTGTTTCTTGCCTTGGAATCTTGTCTCCATGGCAGTGATCAGCCAGTGGCACTGACAGGAAAAATAGGCCTTATCATCTGTCCTGGACTGAGCCTGGGCAATCTTTCAAGCTGGGAACGGCAGCAGCCAGTTCAAAGCAGCGGGAGGAGCAGCTCCCCAGTCAGTGTGCAGGAAAATGGACATAACGATGGCTGTTCTGTTGGTATTGGTTCTGGGACTTCTTATGGTCAAGTTTGCTTTGTTTCAGCCAAGAAACCCAAATTCCCCACCTTGCATTAGTGGCTGGATCCCTTGGTTGGGAGCTGCATTTCAGTTTGGGAAAGCTCCCCTGGAGTTTATAGAACAAGCCAGAGTCAAGGTAAGAATTATAATAGGGTGCATGCATCTGTGTGTTGGGGGAGGGGGTGCCTGGGGCAGTATAGGGAGACAGATGAGGAACCTTTCTGCATTAAAGGAATCCCTTACAACATTAAGAAGATTTCTATCATTTTTATTGTAACACAGAAGCCTCCGGCTGAAATAGGTGATATGTGTGTCAACTGATTGGCAGGTTACCCTAGATACCTTGGACTTGATATTGCAATCACTGTTTTCGCACAATAGTACCTGAGCACCTGATCGGGACACACAATGCATGCAGCTTTTCTTTCTCAGCTGGGTACTGACCTGGGTTCCACATGAAGGGAAACATGTTGCAAAGTGCATTGGGACTGTAAAAGTTTGTGCGAGCTGATTGTATGAGGTATCACCTAATACACAGTCAGTAGTGCCAGCTGCATGTGTTCACAAACGATGGGCTGCCCCCCCGATCATGAAATTAAAAAAAAAAGGGGGGGAGATTTTTTATTTGCCTCCTTTTTGAGTCTTCAGGGTTCATGTTTTCAAGCTGTTCTCTGCAACAAGTTCTAGAAACTTGGTGGGGTTTATGTTCCCCCTCCCCAGCCCAGCCCATGAAACCTGAGATTAAAATATAATCTCATGACTCCAGTAGCTGGAGCTTTAAGAAAGACACCAAATATCGCAAGACTTGCAATAAAATAAAACTGGCAACAGTGTTAGTTCAGGATGAATCACACAACAAGTTCATACAACCTAGCTGAGTGCAGAAAAATTCCCTGGCTTTTGAGTGCATAATATATCAACCTTAGTGTTACATAATTGTAAATCTCTCCCTCAGATCTCTTATTATTACATCTAATGTAAATCAAAGGGCAATATTAGAGCAGATGCCTGCTGCCATCCAGAATGATTCATTTTGCAAAAGAGTTATTTCCAAAACATTCACTTTGAGGACTGAAATTTTCCCACAGTTTATTTCTTGCTGCATGTGATTTCTTTTGCAGGAAGTTGGAGCAATATCCGTTTAGATACTTAAGGTTGAAGCTAGAGACTGGGCGTGGATTAGATCTCATTGAGGATTAGTGATTTTGGTTGAAAAACAAGTTGTTTGAAATGAACAAAGGCAATTCAGACCAAGAAGTTGCATTAGAAAACGTCTTTAACATTGAGCAGGAGTTGTCTTATGAGACTCACGGGCTTGATACTTATTTACACCAAGGCCATATTACACGACCCTGGCATTGTAAAAGGGCTTTAACATGGGAATAAATTACATTTATACTTGTTTTAAGGCTCCTTTACACTGTCAGCATGGGATAAAGCATCCTTCAGGTAAAGGAGAATCAGGCTCATTGGGACTACATTAAAGTTAAGCACATGCATAAGGCTTTGGAGGATCAGGGCCATAGACACAATTCATTGTGCATTCCTGCCCAGCTAGCTAAAGGGATACTGGTAAAAAAAATTCTGGAATAAAAGTCATGAAAATTTAGTTCAAGTTTTTCCCTTTTATTGAAATTCAAAGCTATGATGCAAACTTTATTTAGATTTAAAAAATGAAGAAGATGCCTACACATAGCTCAAACTGCCTTCGAAATAGTATCACATAACCCCAGCAGCATTCAAACAAGTATTCTGCCAGTTAGACACTTAGAGACTTGTTTTGATCCCTTCATTCATAGGCGCTGACTGCATGGATGCTCCAGGGCTGGAGTACCTATGGAAAAAAAATTAGTGGGTGCTTAGCAACCACAGGCAGCTAAGCTTCCCCCCCCCCCCCCGGCCCCCGTGTTTCCTGCCTGCCAACAGCCTCACCGATCAACTCCTCACCCTCCCTCCCAGTACTTCCTGCACACCGCTGAACAGCTGTTCTGTGGTGTGCAGGAAGCGCTGGGAGGGAGGGGGAGGAGTGGGCTCCGTGAGAGGGCAGGAAGAGGCTGGGCAGGGTTGGGGCTTGGAGGAAGGCGTGGAGTTGGGGCAGGCCTGGGGCGGAGCAGGGGTGTCAAGCGGCCCCCCCCTCTACCGCCCACATGGAGAGGAAGTGGGCGCCTATGTCTTCATCATTCTGGGAAGCATCCCTCAGCCCTCTCCAAAAACCCTATCAAACAGATGTCTATTGCAGCATGCCTGGAAGATCACCAGCTTAACCAGGCTATTTCAAATCAAGGGAGAGAGAGTAAATTCCAGAGTCCTGGAGCCCTCACAGGAAGTGCCCCTGCCACTACCCCTGACTCTTTTATAATGATAGCAAGTGCATCTGCCAATCATAGCTGTGGCAGTATGGCATGGGGAGACATACAGTCTCCGGTAGGCAGGTTCCAGGCCATTTAGAGCAGCCTAGGTCAGAACCTTTAGATGCATTATTAGGTGCACACTGGTTTAAAGACTGTACAGTTTCTATAAAAAATAACAAATAACAAGGAGTCCTTGTGGCACCTTAGAGAATAACAAATTTATTTGGGCATAAGCTTTCGTGGGCTAGAACCCATTTCATCAGATGCATGGAGTGAAAATACAGGAGCACGTATAAATACATGAAAGGATGGGGGTGGCTTTACCACCTGTGAGGTCAGTCTAATGAGATAAATCAATTAACAGCAGGATACCAAGGGAGGAAAAATAACTTTTGAAGTGGTAATGAGAGTGGTCCATTACAGACAGTTGACAAGAAGGTGTGAGTAACAGTAGGGGGGAAAAGAAAAGGAGTACTTGTGGCACCTTAGAGACTAACCAATTTATTTGAGCATGAGCTTTCGTGAGCTACAGCTCACTTCATCAGATGTTTACCGTGGAAACTGCAGCAGACTTTATATACACACAGAGAATATGAAACAATACCTCCTCCCACCCCACTGTCCTGCTGGTAATAGCTTATCTAAAGTGATCAACAGGTGGGCCATTTCCAGCACAAACCCAGGTTTTCTCACCCTCCACCCCCCCACACAAATTCACTCTCCTGCTGGTGCTAGCCCATCCAAAGTGACAACTCTTTACATAGTCAAGTCGGGCTATTTCCTGCATAGATCCAGGTTTTCTCACATCCCCCCCACCCCCATACACACACAAACTCACTCTCCTGCTGGTAATAGCTCATCAAAACTGACCACTCTCCAAGTTTAAATCCAAGTTAAACCAGAACATCTGGGGGGGGGGGGGGAGGGGGATAGGAAAAAACAAGAGGAAACAGGCTACCTTGCATAATGACTTAGCCACTCCCAGTCTCTATTTAAGCCTAAATTAATAGTATCCAATTTGCAAAGATCAGCGGCACTGCTATGGGTACCCGCATGGCCCCACAGTATGCCAACATTTTTATGGCTGATTTAGAACAACGCTTCCTCAGCTCTCGTCCCCTAAAGCCCCTACTCTACTTGCGCTATATTGATGACATTTTCATCATCTGGACCCATGGAAAAGAAGCCCTTGAGGAATTCCACCATGATTTCAACAATTTCCATCCCACCACCAACCTCAGCCTGGTCCAGTCCACACAAGAGATCCACTTCCTGGACACTACAGTGCTAATAAACAATGGCCACATAAACACCACCCTATACCGGAAACCTACTGACCGCTATTCCTACCTGCATGCCTCCAGCTTTCACCCTGACCACACCACACGATCCATCGTCTACAGCCAAGCTCTGCGATACAACTGCATTTGCTCCAACCCCTCAGACAGAGACAAACACCTACAAGATCTCTGTCAAGCTTTCTTACAACTACAATACCCACCTGCAGAAGTAAAGAAACAGATTGATAGAGCCAGAAGAGTTCCCAGAAGTTACCTACTACAGGACAGGCCTAACAAAGAAAATAACAGAACGCCACTGGCGGTCACCTTCAGCCCCCAACTAAAACCCCTCCAACGCATTATTAAGGATCTACAACCTATCCTAAAGGATGACCCAACACTCTCACAAGTCTTGGGAGACAGGCCAGTCCTTGCCTACAGACAGCCCCGCAACCTGAAGCAAATACTCACCAACAACCACATACCACACAACAGAACCACTAACCCAGGAACTTATCCTTGCAACAAAGCCCGTTGCCAATTGTGCCCACATATCTATTCAGGGGACACCATCACAGGGCCTAATAACATCAGCCACACTATCAGAGGCTCGTTCACCTGCACATCCACCAATGTGATATATGCCATCATGTGCCAGCAATGCCCCTCTGCCATGTACATTGGTCAAACTGGACAGTCTCTACGTAAAAGAATAAATGGACACAAATCAGATGTCAAGAATTATAACATTCATAAACCAGTCGGAGAACACTTCAATCTCTCTGGTCACGCAATCACAGACATGAAGGTCGCTATCTTAAAACAAAAAAACTTCAAATCCAGACTCCAGCGAGAAACTGCTGAATTGGAATTCATTTGCAAATTGGATACTATTAATTTAGGCTTAAATAGAGACTGGGAGTGGCTAAGTCATTATGCAAGGTAGCCTGTTTCCTCTTGTTTTTTCCTATCCCCCCCCCCCCCCCCCAGATGTTCTGGTTTAACTTGGATTTAAACTTGGAGAGTGGTCAGTTTTGATGAGCTATTACCAGCAGGAGAGTGAGTTTGTGTGTGTATGGGGGTGGGGGGGATGTGAGAAAACCTGGATCTATGCAGGAAATAGCCCGACTTGACTATGTAAAGAGTTGTCACTTTGGATGGGCTAGCACCAGCAGGAGAGTGAATTTGTGTGGGGGGTGGAGGGTGAGAAAACCTGGGTTTGTGCTGGAAATGGCCCACCTGTTGATCACTTTAGATAAGCTATTACCAGCAGGACAGTGGGGTGGGAGGAGGTATTGTTTCATATTCTCTGTGTGTATATAAAGTCTGCTGCAGTTTCCACGGTAAACATCTGATGAAGTGAGCTGTAGCTCACGAAAGCTCATGCTCAAATAAATTGGTTAGTCTCTAAGGTGCCACAAGTACTCCTTTTCTTTTTGCGAATACAGACTAACACGGCTGTTCCTCTGAAACCTGTCAGTAGGGGGAAATTAAGTTTAGATTTT